TCTGGTCTAGCCAGACTGGTAAGGTAGAATTGGGATCATGATAGTAGGAGGGAGGAAGCATTTAGGAACTAGAGGAAAGTTGTATGCTTCATCATTGCTACACTGCACCCTGACTGATATGATTTTTTGTTCTTTGATGCCTGATAACTGATCCCTTCGTGACAGCAGATTATGTAAGGACCACAGTAGTCTTCACATGGCTTACCATCCCTTCCCGCCATGTTTCTGGCTTGCTTGCTTTAATCTTTCATATTTCAAAAGAGATCCATTCAATAGCAACTGAGGACTTTAAAGTCCATGTGCTCAGGTTCAACTATTGGCCCCTCCCTGTCTGGAGGAAGAAGAGTGGTGAAAGTGGAGGAGGAATGGACACAATTAGAGTGATGGGCTAATGGATGGTTCACACAGTCTCCACCACTCTGAGACAAGAGGACCGGACCCCCAACCATAAAAATATTTTCATTGCTACTTCATAACTGTCACTTTGCTTCTGTTATGAATCGGGCAACCCCTGTGAAAGGAGTCGTTCAACACCCCTCAGAGAGGTCGCAACCCACAGTTTAGAACCACTGATCTAGATGGTGCCCGACTACCACCACCAACTGTTCTGAAAGGGATCACATTAGAAGGTCCTGGGTACAATGGGGGAAAGTTTTGGAACAAAACTCAAAATCACAAAGACCAGGCTTAGTGGTTGGATAGAGACATGGTAGAAACTCATCAGACTATCACCCTTACTCTTCAGATCTGAAAATAAACTCACCTCCATGGTTCAATTTTCAGCCAAACAACAAACAGCTTGTTTTTGTTTTTTGTTTTTTTTCCAGGACCAACGATCACTAGCAGCCCACGTAACAAAAAGTACGCTTCCGAAGTCTCTTGATGTCGATTCCGCACGTAGAGCAATGGAGATGCCCTACGTGTGCCACTTAACGACAGAAGCCCTTTTTTCAACAAACAGCTTGTTAAGGGAAACAATAACCCTATGGAAGGTACACACACCTTTGAAGAATCAACCATTTGAGATCTAAAAGACAGCATTTCCCCAAGGACAAAGTTTGTCAGGGAAAGAAGCAGGAATGGAAACCGGAAACACACAAGTAGGGCAAGTATTACATTGTGGGGAGTGCGATCAATAACAAGAATTAAAATGTATGTGTTATAGAATAGAAAACTAATCTGTAAACCTTCACCTAGTTCACATGAGAAGTTAAAAATAAAATGGCTCAAGACATAACCTATTAATCCAGTGTCATTACATAATACAACCCATTCACACATGAGAGTACAACCATAGGCACAGATGGACACGTGATAGACATAATTTTGGAGGACACAATTCAATCCGTAACATTACATGCTTTGGCCCCCACCCCAAAGAATTTATGTCCTTGGCACATGTAAAATGCATTCACCCCATAATGTAAGTCCCCCAAATTTTAACAAGACTCTTTAGCATACTCCATAGATGAAGAAGGCTTTTTTTTTTTTGCCTTTGAGATCTAGATTATAAGTTACCGGGTTCCAAAGTACAATGGTAAAACTGGCACAAGGTAAAGATTGTCATGTTTTCCATGACCACTGGGAGAAACTGGAAGGAAGGAAAAAGGGAAAAACGGGCACCAAGCAAGTTCAAAACCTTGCAGAACTCGTTACATTAGCTCATTCTCAGGGCTTGAAAAAAATCCTCTGTACTCTGAGGTCATCTAGGCAGTCGCCCAGCTCTCCAGACGCTGGGTGCTAACTTTGCTCTCTGGACTCAGGAAGAAGTCACCAGCCCTGAGCTTTAGCATCCCTTCCCGCCACTCTGTTCACTAGGTTTAGAGTGGCCCGATTCTCCTAGTCCATCTAAGTAGTACACTCCATCCCTCAGCCCTGGCCGGCCCTGTTCTTACACACACACACACACACACACACACACACACACACACACTCACTCACTCACTCACTCACTCACTCACTGCTAGTGAGTCAGTGCTGACTCATAGCGACCCTATAGGACTGGGTGGAACTGCTCCTGTAGGTTTCTACTCTTTACAGGAGTAGAAGAGAGTAGAATGTCCCATCTTTCTCCAGAGGAACAGCGGTGGCTTCGAACTGCAGTTAGCAGGCCAATGAGTAACCCTGCTACCACCAGGGTTCCTGGAGAGACACAAAGGGACATGAAATTAGAAGCAGCTAGGATGTTTCAGGGAAGTGGTATTTAAAACTTTTAACAAAGAGAATGACCTCAGAGAAGTGGCTTTGACAGAGTGTGGCAGGAAAGTAGATAGGAAGCCTAATACGTTTAACGTGTTGGGTCCTGCAGAGCCAACTGGCTATTTCTGCTTTCTCACAAGTGCAATAGGAGGCAGGGAAAGGTCTAATTTCTGAGATGCCTCCAAAGGTATTATTATTTTTTTAATCATTTTATTAGGGGCTCATACAACTCCTATCACAATCCATACATACATCAATTGTGTAAAGCGCATTTGTACATTCATTGCCCTCATCATTCTCAAAACAGTTCCTCTCCACTTACGCCCCCGGCATTAGGTCCTCATTTTTCCCAAAGGTATTATTACAAATTGAATTGTGTCCTTCGAAAATACCTTATAAATCTGTGATAGCTGGAGCTTATGTAAACTAGATACTCCCCGGTACAGGTAGGGGTGGAGCAGTTGAAGTAGTCTTCCAGGATGCCCCTTGGTCTAGCGCCCACAGGAGGGCCCCATGCAGAGCTCTACTTAACACAGACACTTTAGTGATAGCTAAACTCAGCAGCCTCTGTGGCCTTTCTTGACCCTCTTCCACCTGTCTGCACGTGGACACTGTCCATCCTCTGCCACTTCCAAGTGCCACCCTTTCATAAGAAAACATGCTTTGGTATTTCCACCACTCGCAATCCCTTCTCTGACTAATTAACTAGAGGTCTAAACCAAAAAACTCACTGCCATTGAGTTGATTCCGATTCATGGTGGTCCTATAGGACAGAGTATAAGTGCCACTGTGAGTTTCTGAGGCTGGACCTTGTTAACAGGAGCAAAAAGTCTTTTCTCAGGAGGGGCGAATGGTGGATTTCAAACTAATTGCTACAGACGACAAGCGATCTTGCTATTAGCAGCCCAAAATGTAACCCATTACACTACCAGGGCTCAGCACAAATGACTACTTCTCTTGAGGTGTTTGGACTGGGGTGTAAAATAAGGACACCTTGCCTTAGGGACGTCGTGAGTGGGATAATGAATGCAAGGTGTACCTGAGGGGCAGGTGAACCCACTTGTTCTTTCTGTTGCCTCAAAGTCCTGTTCAACCCAGTCAGCTTGCACTTCTTCCTCCAACTCAGTATTTCCTCTCTGAAGCTCTTCTATCGCTCCCACCTTGGAAAAGCCCCGGGAGACGTTGTAATCTGTTGTCAATTTGAGACTTACATATGAGTGAAGGGGTGGAGTTTAGCCTGCCAATCCTTGGCACAGCTTGATGACTTCATTTGGAGGCGCTAAGGAGATAAAGAGCTCCCTGGAGGCAGGACCCACGCTGACTCCCTGCGAGACATTTCCGCTGACAAGACACATGGAGCTACACTAGAGCTCTGGAGCCAGAGGAGCCACATGGAGACAGACCCCTGCCAATGTTGAGATGTTTACACCACCACTGGAGCCACAAGACCTTCCATCCACTGGCCTGTGATCTTCCTGCATTTGACATCATTGTGTGTGTTTCATGAGTATAACGAGGAATTTGTGGACTAGTATTGGATATATGGGCTAATATTGGACTTAAGGACTTGATCCTGACTGGCTGGGATGTTTTCTCAATATCCAATTGCTATTGTATATAAACCTCTTTATTAAAAAAAAATTATTGGTGGCTCTTACAGCTCTTATCATAATCATGTATATCCATTGTGTCAAACACGTCTGCACATATGTTGTCATCTCTTTCAAAACATTTTCTTTCTACTTGAGCCCTCGGTATCAGCTCATTTTTCCCTCCCTCCCCCATGAACCCTTGATAATTTATAAATTATTCTCTTTTTTGTCTTACACTGACCGTTGTCTCCCTTCACACACTTTTCTGTTGTCCATCCCACTGGGGAGAGGGGCATATGTCAATTGTTGTGATCAAATCCCTCTTACCTCCTCTGCCCCTCTTTCCTTACCCTCCTAGTATCTCCCTTTATTGGTCCTGGGGGAGTTATCAGCCCTGGATTTCCTGTGTTGCGAGTTCTTATCAGTACAGTATACATGTTCTGGTCTGGTCAGATTTGTAAAGTAGAATTGGGGTCATGATAGTGTGGTGGGGGGAAGCATTAAAGAGCTAGAGGAAGGTTGTGTATTTCATCAGTACTATACTGCACCCTGACTGGCTCATCTCTTCCTTGTGACCCACCTGTAAGGGGCTGTCCAATTGACTACTGATGGGCTTTGGGTCTCCCCTCTGCCCTCCCCATTCAATCACATCAATACGATATTTTGTTGTTGTTGTTGTTGTGTTTTATAAACCTTTCTTATACACAAATGAGTTTCTATGATTTTGTTTCTCTAGTCCACCCAGACTGACACATTGTATCTATTTCATAGGGTTGGAATGAGGTTGAAGACTCAGGCCATTGTTATATTTGCTGCATGTCCCTTGAACTCCTAATGTCCAGAAATGAGATTCCATGATGGTCACTGTGGCAAATCAAAAGAGCCTTCCCTGAACCACTGATACTGCGGAGGCAGTACTAGGGTAAGGTGATGGGGAGTAGGAGAAGGGCTTCTTTGAGGCAAAGTATTGCTTCCTTCATTTTGTGTATCTTCAGTACCTAGTGCACAGCAGCTGCTCAATAAATATTGGCATGCTGTGGTTTGACACCCTATGGATCGGCACAGGCGTGACAACAGTGAGCTTAAACCTAACAGCCACTGTGAGGATGGGCAGACAGGGCTGTTATTCTATGAGTCAGAACTGCCTTGAAGGCACCTAGCAGTGACAGCATCATCGCCTCTCATCCATTCTCACCTGCCTCACCCTGGGCCTCATCCAGTGACACCCTGTCCTCTCCCTGCTTCTAGTCCCTTCTTTCATGCTGTCCTCTTAAGACACAGCTCTGACTCTTGCTCAGGAGGCAGTCAAGGTCAGGCAGGATCACTGTTCTCTCCTCCCTGCTTAGCTTTTCTGGACCTGACCCTCAAACTGAGTTCTCTGCCACCTCCCAAAAGGTGTCATCATTTCCCACCCCTAATCCTTTGCTTCAGTCTCCTCTCCCACCTGACATGTTTCCCCAATACCCACTGCCTCTCATGGCAGTGACCACACAGATTCTTAAGATGCCCAACTGGATTCATTTCATGCCAGTTCACTGAGGGGATGTTGCTGGGCCAGGGAGCCACACGGTGAGGTGACACAGAAGCACAATCCTCCCTGTATCACAAGTCCTCTTGCCCCTCCTAGACTGTGAGCAACTTTGAGGACAGGGTCACACATTACAGTGTGTGGCCTGTTCTCGGGGCCCAGGAAGTGTCTCCAGGAAAGGAGTTTCTGTTGGCGTTCCCATCCTCAGCCTGGCCCACAAGGTGGAGAAAGCCCATTAACACAACCTCGGGGGTCACAGGACCCCAGCATCCTTGACCCCCTGTGCTTTCAGCTGGAGGGTTGGATAATGGTTCCGGATGGGTGGGTGACTGGCCAAACTCTCCCCAGGCCAGCTGACCAGCCTACCAGAACCACACCCGGAGCGAGGCCTTTACACATCCCCCTCCGGAGAGGGGGCAGAAATGCAGGCCGCGAGAAGGGGGTGGGAAAGGACGGGCCACGGGAGGAGGCCACGAAGTTCATTAGCCCCCTCATTTGGGGCAAGGGGAATCCGTGTGGTGACAAACAATTGTCCTGGAGGATTTAAGGGATTTAGCCAAGGGTCCCTGTGGGCCCCCAGCTTCCTTCTAATCCCGTCCACATTTCAGACTACTTAGGATCGCATTAAATG